TGCCGTTGAAGGACATGAAACACATGAGCATGGAGAAGCGCACGGTCATGTGGAGCAGCGTGGGGACTGTCAATCAGCAATTTTTGGTGGTCGAGTGCTCATGGTTGAGGAAGAGTCAAACGCTGATACTCTGTCCGACCGCCTCAGCAAGTTGGCTCAACGGTTGAACGATCTCAAGAGGACGAGGTTAACGGACAATGAAGACATGTCCTCCTTCCACGGACCAGGGCCCACGCCATGTCGGCTGGCCTTGCATGGGGCATCACGTTCCTGGACCTCAGCGAACCAACAAGTTCGCGGCCTGGCAGGCCTGCAATCATTGTGGCCTGAGACTCCGATACACCACCAAGGGCACTGGCGCCGGGGACAACAGGGCCATTGGACCGCCGCCAGATCATGTCGAACTGGCCCAGCTGGAGCTTCAGGAATCTTCCAGGCGCACGAGATTACGGGGAAGATCTTCAATCGGAAGCTCCGGAGATTCGAGGTCGAACCCTGGTGGAGACCTGTGGACGAGGCCGCGCAACGGTTCAGGTCCGAGCGAACGAGACCTTGGGAGAGGCGCTGATGGCTGGGGCATCCTGCTCACAGACCACGGAGAGCCCAAACAAGACACCGTACCCCAACGCACTCTCGCCAATCCGCCAGAGCCCACCGAAGCCTTCGACCAAGACTGCGACGGAGAACAACCCGAAGGTGAAGAGCGAGGGGATCGTCCCGACTCATCGTCCGGGCAGTCCCATGAGCGTGACATCTTCGGCGGCGATCATCAACCAGGCGGAGTTCGAAGTGGTGAAGAAGGAGCTCCAGGAGGCGAAGGCCAAGATCGAGGAGCTGGCCACCAAGAAGGTGAAGGAGGAAGAGGAATCCAAGGGCGAGTGAATGCCCTTTGGAAGGCCCTGAGTGGATTGCGTCAGAAGATGCGATCAAGTTGTCCTACCCGGCTGGAGGCTGACCTGGACACCAATCCTGGCAACTTTCAAATGAGCCCAACACGACAACAACCAATAACGGACGGAGAGTTTTCTCTCCAACCACACGGCACTACGAGCACGACGAGCCCTACGTTTGGTGGGGAACTTTGTGGCGCTGCGTGCACGACATGCTCTACTGGCAGTTTGTGTCCATCTACGGCGCGTCACCAGGAGATCGGCTGCCACAAACCACATGACGGAGAAGATAGTGAGGCCTTCCCTGGCTATGACTTGGACACCTGAAAGGGGACATCCCGACTTGCTGACAGAATCAAGGAGGTGGTGCCGCGCTTGGGTTGGGTATCCTTTCGATGCACTCGGCTATCTAGCCTGCAGAATCTGACAGAGTGGACACCAGAGCAATAATGGGATGCATTCCTCAAACGACCGGGACGAGACCTGTCAAGGTGTGATGAGATAGCCCGCGGCCTGGAGCCAGTCATCTCGTCTGGCAATGACATCGCCTGGGAATGGCCAACGACTGCCACATGTCTACTGGATCCGGGTGGACGGATGTGCCTATGGGCTGGAGTGGAAAGGCATTCCTCTTCGAAAGGCCTGGACCATTCTGACCACACGCAGAGAGCTTTGGCTGACCTTGAACAAGCGATGTGACCGATCGCATGAACATGCAGAATGCCGAGGACAAGCAGCAGAAGCCTCGAGTTACTACCCTGCGTCCCTGTGCCGAGATGTGGTGGAGCATCGGTGGAGACAAGAACGAGATGATTTGATCAGAAGGCACGAGTGAAGAGACTACGCCCACACCTCATCCTGGAGAACCACGAGGCGGACATCATGGCTTCGAGCTGGAACCTCAGGTGATGGCCCTGAGCAGGAAGAGGTTGGACATGGAGACAGCCCCGACCGGAAAACGATTGGAGGCGATCAAACAGATGATGTTGAGAGTTCACCGAGCGAGCGGGCACCCTGGCATGTCCAATTTGGTGCAGCTGTTGAAGGCCAGGGGATCGCCTGGCTGGGCCCTTGAGCTAGCAGCGCCGAGACCAAGACCTCCGGCAAGCTTGGGAGAAACACCTCCGATCTACGACCATCTCGGAACCGATGTCTTCGAGCACGAGGCTTGACGATGATTGACCACCTCAAGCGGTATGAGACGGGCAACTGGGAGCCAACCTCGAGTGATGTGATCAGGTCGATGACCAGAAGTGGACAGTGGCGGACAGTGCCAGGTACTATTATACCAGCCAAGAGTTCATGAATTTCCTCAACAGGTCTGGTGTGGGATTGACCATTGCACCAGCAGAAGCACACTGGCTTATGGGCTTCGAGGAAGGAGCAATTGGCCTGCGACAAGTTGGTGAAGGAGAGGGAGAAAGCCAAGATAGCCTTCGAACGAGAACGAGCTCGAGAGAGGTTCAGCAAGCTGACGAACGCCATTGGAAGGAAGGCGAGCCAGTATCAAGCTGGCCAACTGGTGATGGTCTGGCGACAACGAGTTCGCCCTGGCAAGGTGAAGCTTAGGGCAACTGGACCGGGCCTCTACGCCTCTGGTTGATCTCAGGTGCCACCCTCATCCGGGCGAAGGTGAACCAAATCCGCCCGACTTCGAAGCGTGAAGAGCGACGCAAGGCTAGAGGGAGCGGCCGTCTACAAGAGCCCGGTGACGCTCGAAGCCCTCATGAGGAGCTTTCAAGGTCGGTACTACCTTGACGTGTCCGGCGATGTCCCGAGCGAGGAGCTGCAGCCTGCAGCGGGGCGACCTCAGCGACTCTTGGGCAGTGAATCTGAAGTGGGAAAATGGCAGACGCTTTCTGGTTCGACTTCACGAACTTCCAAGATTGGCACTCTTCAACCCAGGCCGAGCCATGAATTGCCCTGTGAAGTTGGAGGAATTGACTGGCCGTCGACGAACGGCAGTCCACGGGGGCGACGAGGTGACCATCCACGACACCATTGAAGAGAGCCGGAACCTCCAAGACAGGTGGAATCACCAAGACCGAGAAGGATAGACTTTTCTGTATGACCTTTATGAAAGGAGACGGGCGCCGACAGGAGCTGAAGTCCCAATACCCGAAGGTTCTTCTTCGTCTTCTACATCTTCAATCTCCGAGCCCGAGGATCTATCCTCTGGCAGCGAAGAGTTGATGGTCATTGATGACAACTCCAAGCCGGCAGGAAGACCAAAGGAGATCCAAAGAAGAAAGCTCCAGAAGAAACCTTCCTGGCACGCTCTTTCGAGGTGACGGACGATGACTTCGCGTGGCTGAGCAAGAACAAAGGTCGGTAGCGAGGTGCCATCTGGTTGAGCAAGAAGATGTCCGAGAAGGGCTAAGTATGGCACCGCCTTCCACTTCAAGAGAAAACGGAGTTCGACCGGAGCCTGGCCATGGCGAAAGAGCTTTCGCAGGTGGCGATCAGCAAGGCCCTCCGGAACCTGACGGTCCATGAGGAGCTGAAGGTGACCCCAGAGCAGTTGATGAAGATGCGCTGGGTGCTGACGCGCAAGAGCGTCGGGACGGCCAAGGCCCGTCTGGTGGCGCTAGGTTTCACAGCGCATAATTTGACAGAAGTGGCGACGGCCTCACCGACCATGTCCAAGGTTGGTCGTAACCTGATCCTCGCCTTGGCGGCTGGCCTGAAGTTCAAGGTAAAGGCCGGCGATGTGACGAGCGCCTTTCTGCAGACTGGCATAAGTCTGGAGGATGAGGAGCTGACCGTGTTGGCACCGCCCGAACTGAGTGCCATGTTCGGAGCGGCAGATGGACAACAAAAGGCCCTTCGTGTCCGAGAAGCTTTCTACGGCTTGGCGCACGCTCCCAGGAAATGGTGGGAGCGCTGTGTGAAGACTATGGTCGATGGCGGCTGGAGGCAGTTGCTCAGCGACAAATGTTGCTTCGCGCTCTACGAGCCTGAGTCCATGGATGGCAACCAAAACCCACGACTGGTTGGAGTGGCTGGATTGCACGTGGACGACTTTTTGCTGTGTGGTGATGAAGTGTCTGAACACTTCAGGTCAAGGGAACGCCTTCTGAATGAAGCCTTCCGATGGGGACGTTGGAACGAGAACAACTTCGAGTTCGCAGGATGTACCGTCATCCAGAACAAGGACTACTCCATCATCCTGAACCAGGAGGTGTACACCAACCGCTGGATTGAAGAGATCGAGATCGACAAAACAAAAGCAAGAAAGACACCCTTGAATGCGGCTGAGATCTCTTCCATGCGGGCAGCGCTGGGCACGGTGTCCTGGCGGGCAACGCAGTCTGCGCCGCAGTTCCTGGCAGAAGCATCGCTCCTCCTGAGCGAGATCAACAAGGGCACCATCGAGACCCTCTACAAGGTCAACAAGTTGGTGCGAGAGATGAAGCGAGAAGCTGGCCAAGGACTCCTGTTCCCTTCGAGCTGGGGCATGAAGGAAGTGACTGAGCTCGCGGTCATCACATTGGCTGATGCCAGCCAACACAACCGCCCTGACAAAAGCAGCACGGTTGGCATCATCACCGGTGTCACGGTGAAGGCAGCCCTGGCAGGAGAAGAGGTGCAAATAGCGGTGGTCCAGTGGAAGAGCGGCAAAACGCCGCGGCAGTGTCTTGGTTCGAATGGGGCCGAAGTCCAAGCCTCCTCGATTGGTGAGGACCAGAACTGCCAGATCCGCTTGATGCTGGCGGAGTTCGGTGGCCATGAGGTGAAGAGGAACCTCGTGCATGAGACCGCCAGGCCGCCAATTAGCTGGTGGCGGGGGCCCTGGTGATGGACAGCCGAGGCATCTACGATGCCATGACCCGCAACATCAGCAGCCTACACGGCCTGAGAGACATGCAGCCGAGCAGGCTACGAGCTGACGCTCGCCGTCAACCAAGCGCTGAAGGCGGCCACGGAGCTGCGCTGGGTGAACGGCTTGGCTCAACTTGGTGACTCCCTCACCAAGTACGGGGCAAGGAAGACCCTACTCCAGTTCTTCAGCCAGAAGCAGTACTGGAGGCTGGTGCACGATGAGAAGATTGAAGCTGGCAAGAAAGTGCACAAGCGAGCCATGGAGCAGAAGCTTCGAGAGATGCAAGAAGCATATGTAGCTTCTTTGAGGACCCTGGCCGAAAAGAACAACTGGCCATGGGATTTCGGCGGTGAAGAACCAGCTCTCGTGAGTCCAAAAAGGGCCACGAGGATGGTGGTGATGCAAGGATAGCGTCACGACGTGATCCTCCCTGACCTCATGGCGGGGCTCGAGCGGCTAAGGCCAAAAGGGTTCGGCGCGTCGCGCGCGTTGGTCCACGACGGACCGCGGTTGCCCTTGGGACAGGGCGGATTGCGCCTTGGGTCTTGCTTCTCATCGTCTGCGGGAGTGTTTTCGTCTGTTTATGTGGAAAAGCTTCCTTAATTCCAAACGGCATGAAGTGGCCGAAGTGTCCTACGAGAGTTCTCAACGTCTCGTGATGTCGGGAATTGTCCTTCCAGTGCCCTGGTGCTCGGGGGTGGCTTGTAGGGCCATGTTGAGCCCTGCGTCTATGGGTAAAGCAGGTGATCCGAAGCTCTCCAGCTCTTGCATCTGGCCTGGATGCTCGGTTCAGTGTGCGTTTTTCGCGCACATTGCTTGGGAATGTCAACATAGATCCTCGCGCCCAAACCCCTTTGGATGCTCGTTTCGGTTGGGGCTCTCGCGAGACCCTTACCTGGCTTGCTCAGGTTCAGAAACAAATTTGGGTCACCAGACATGGTGATCCAGTACTAAGATGTACTAAGATCTGACGTCTAACTTTCGTTTGTTCGGGATGGCGCTACGGCTGACGCCGTTGCGTGGGCTCTTGTGGTGCGCGCCGCATTTGGGCTGCGCGCGTCGGCTGCTGCTGCTGCCACAAAATTCTCTCTCTCGCCGTCAGGTAATTACTGGAGTCTTTGTTGACACCGCTATCCAGACAAGCAATTCACAGCGGGATATTCAGATCGAGCGCGAGATGGAGCTCAAAGATTCCTTCTTGAAGTCGCTTAAAGATTTCTTTGAAGCATTGGACACTGATGGCAGTGGTTCTATCCATTTGGAAGAAATCAAAATCATGCTTCAGGACAGGCTCGCGCGGTGTTCGTGTGTGTTGATTTTGTTATTTCCTGGCTCAGTACATGTCATAGCCCATGGCTACATCTTGGTCAGAGGTTGTTTCGGTGGGCAAGGCTTTTTGGGCAGGTTGTGTGAGCATTCCTCCATTGTTGCCTTTTGGAATGACCATGCAACACTTGAGCGATAGAAGGATTCCTTCTACGAAAGCAGCATGATATGAGACTCTGAAGTGTTTGAAACATGCAATTTTTACAATAGATGTTTTACATGTATTTGGATGTTATTATGCTATTCAAACAGTTTACTGTTAGGGGTTCTCAATTCTTTCTTAAGATGTGTCCGCCCTTTCTGTCACTGCTGGTGTCCGCCCTTTTCTGCTGGCCATGCAGCATTTCTATTCATTTGTCTCCCAGGAAATTTCTTTACTTTTGTCGCCCAGGTTCGGTGCACGCGCTGCTGGTGTCCGCCCTTTTTCGCTGGCCATGCAGCATTTCTATTCATTTGTTTCCCATGCGATTTCTTTACCTTTGTCTCCCAGGTTCTGCACTGCTGGTGTCACCCTTTCCCTTCATTTGTCTCCCATGTGATTTCTTTCCTTTTGTCTCCCAGGTTCGGTGCCTGCGCTGCTGGTGTCCTTGCTGCGGGACAGCGTATCCGCCGGCCTTCTTGTTGGTCATTGTGTCCGCCTTGTCTCCCTCCTGCCTCCCTTTGTTTGCGGTCTTGTCGGTCACTGTGCCTCTCTTCTTGTTGGTCACTGTGTCCGCCTTGTCTCCCTCCTGTCTCCCTTTGTCTCCCTTCTTGTTGGTCACTGTGTCCACCTTGTTTCCCTTCTGTCTCCTTTTGTTTCCTTCTAGGCTGGACTGCTTTGTCCGCCTCTCGCTTGCAATCCCCTGCCCTACATCTCTCTCAGCTGCTGTACCCACCTCTGCCTTGCAATCCTTTGCAATCCTTTACTTTTGTCCCCCGGCTCTGAGCTGCTGTGTCCGCCTGTGCCTTGCAATCCTTACATTTGTCTCTCAGCTCTGGGCTGCTGTGTCCGCCTCAGACAAGAAGGGAAGCAAAAGGAAAGAGGGAGACAAGCCGGACATAGCAAGAAGGGAGACAAGACTGGAGACAAAGGGAGAGAGAAGGGAGACAAGGCGGACACAATGACCAACAAGAAGAGAGACAAGAAGGGAGACAAAAGGAAACAGAAGGGAGACAAGGCGGACACAGTGACCCACAAGAAGGGAGCCGGAGACAAAGGGAGACAGTTGCAAGGCCGAGGCGGACAGGATGACCAACAAGAAGAGAAACAAGAAGGGAAACAAAAGGAAGGGAGACAAGGCGGGCACAGTCACTGACAAGAAGGCAGACAAGACCGGAGACACGCAGCAGCCCAGAGCTGAAAGACACATGGAAAGGATTCTTGTTGGTCATTGTGTCCGCCTTGTCTCGCTTCTGTCTCCCTTTGTCTCCGCTCTGCTGTGTTGCAGTCCTTTACATGTCTCCCAGCTCCGGAGTGCTGTGTCCGCTTCTCGCTTGCAATCCTGGACACTTGTCTCCCAGCTCTGGGCTGCTGTGTCCGCCCCTCTCGTTTGCAACCCTTTACATTTGTCTCGCTGTGTCTACATTTGTCTCCCAGCTCTGGAGCAATCCTTTACATTTGTCTCCCAGCTCTGGGCTGCTGTGCCCGCCTTTGCCTTGCAATCCTATGCACTTGCCTTAAATTTACATTTGTCTCCCAACTCTGACTGCTGTGTCCGCCTCTGCCTTGCAATCCTTTACATTTGTCCTTGCAATCCTTTGCGTTTGTCTCCCACAGCTCTGGACTGCTGTGTCCGCCTCAAACTCTAGTTGCAGAGTGTTCCGATTGTGAAAAGCACAAACTGTTTGGGGTCTACGGTGGTGTAAGTTCTTTTTCCGCACACAACTGTTTTTTTTTCCCGTGCGAGGATCCAACCCTCGCAGCATATTTTGCTGAATCTCGTTTGCAAGCAAAACTTTGGGTGGCAGTGTGTTTATGCAGTTTATGCACGTGGCAGGGTGTGTGCAGCTAACTTGACGCTATGCAGGTACTCGGTTTCGATGAAGTAAATGCCAATCAAATATTCCACTTGCTGGATGATGATGAATCTGGTGAGGCAGCGACATGGACGACATGTTTTTCCAGCTGTGAGAAGAAGGTGTCAAATTGCAGCCACTTTAGGTCAGCATCGAGGAATTCCTTGAGGGCTGTTCAAAGCTGAAGGGGGCTGCCCGGAGTATTGATGTTCACGCGTTGATGCACCAGTGCAGGAGAGAAGCATTCAAGTCATTTCAAATCCCCGGTTGTCGTGGGGCCTGGAACGTTCTGACATACGAAACGTGCAGGGCCCTTCACCGTGAGCTGAACTTTGTCGCATCAATGCTGGGCGTAGACATGCACTCCAGCACGGCACTTGCCCACAGGCAGTGGAACAACCTCCAGATTGAAGTCATGTTTTACGTTTGTTGTGACAAGTCAACCTTAATGATACTCAGGCCAACCAACGCCTGACTTTGTGTCGTTTGACCTTTCGGCTGTCCAGGCATCCTTATTGGAATGGCAGAGGCTCTAGGCACCTCTGCACAGATTCTTCAAACCGTTTGGCTTGAAAACAAGGGTCTAGGATGGAGCAGAATCCTTTGCACAGAATGCTCTTCGGACGAAGTTTCTCAACATGGCTGGATCATCTCAGCCCTTTTGGGCGGATTTGCACATCCAAACTGAGGCATGTTGGTCGTGCGACGAACCTTCCGCCTGCAACTTCAGCATAAATCATCCCAGTTGGCTTGCTACAGCTTGATGTTCCTAGAAGGAACGATATAAGAGCTTTCACATTTCTGTGAGTAGATGTTTCCGATGAAAAGGCGACATGCCAGGATCGAGAACAGGATTTGCTTAACATAGCGTGCTTCACCCAAATGGGTTGCGCAAAGTGGACGAAGAACGCCAACCCCAAAGCTCCGGGATGGCCTAGGTTTACAAAAAGCCGTGTGGGAGCATCCCAAGTTTGTCCCTTTCAATGCACAACTGCTTGTTCGAACCGCCATTTGCAATCCTTGAGCGATTGACAGCCATGTGGGATCTAGCTTCACACGTTCATGCATGTAGTTCCGAAGATGCTTACTTCGAAAAAGTCAACGTGCTAAGTTTTTCCACCGCTCCACAACACTCCAAGACCCGGCATTTTTACGCGATCCTTTTTGCAACAGCTGAATAGGTGGAACATTCTGAGAAAGCCCAAGAAATACTCAAGGTCCAACTGGCAGACTTAGCTTGGCTTGACCAGAGCAGTAAGACTCAGCTGGGCTTGAGCAGCTCATGGCAGTCTCCTCAGTTGCTCATGTGTTGCGGTGGGTCACATCGAGCCTCTAAGGCGACTGCCACCGATGAGGTTGCTGACTTCGTTGCCAGTCACGAGGACCGACACAAACTGGTGGCGAAAAGATGGGACGATGGTTGTCGTCGGTGACGTTGGTTTTGACGTTGGTGCCATTCCTGGAGTGTTTTGACGAGTTTAGATATTCTCACCTTGCCCCAGGATTTGCAGTTCAAGGATGATGGGAGTGGCAAGGTGGGGAAGATCATCCTGCATCATCGCTGTCTCGGTCTCTCAGTGGCTCTGAGTACCACAGTCGCTTTAGCGATGCGTCGCAGGTGGTGGCAAAGTCCACCGGCCATGAGATGCCTCCTCGCTTGGATGTCGGAGGTCTTAGCTCCGGAGGTAACGGTATGTTAGCGGTGTCTCCTTCGAGACATGCTGCGGAAGAGATGTCCGATAAGGTCATCAAGATCTACGTGAATGGTCCAAGTTACCGGAAGGCCAGGATCGGCACCCGTTTCTGAGAAACACGTTCTGACGGCAGAAGAAACCGTCTCTTGAACCCCTTGTGTTAATTCGCAGAAACCGCTTTGGGATGCCAATTCTGGTGCTTCTCTGCAAACACATTGACGAACTATCATGCTGTATGATACTTTCTCATTGGCAGGCACGGGAGTGGTATTCTTTTGACTTCAGCAAATATGAGCCACACATTGTTCGGCTACACCCTCAGGAGGTTGGCTTGTGTATGCATGACTTGCCTCCATCTCAGGCATGACAAGGAGGAGAAATTCCTTAAGTGCCTTGCCTGGTGCTCGGGGAGTATTTTTGTGCCTCTTTCTTGTATAAGTCCTTTTCCTTTTGGTCTATTCTGTGAGCAATGAGGTCACGGGCACTACATTGCCAATGCAGCCACAGAAGGCAAGCCTCCAGCATGCCATCGTCGGTTTTGGTTCGTGTGGGTGAGTTTGTCGCGAGGTGGAACTACATGTCCAGAGCAAGCGGTTCAAGGCGAGGTTTCAGCAACACGAGGTTGATTCGATTAATGAATTAATTGCCTCTAGAATCCCCATTCATCCCCATTCTATCTTCGTGCGACTCATAAATTGAAATTGACACGAAACTTAAGGAGCTATTGAAAGCCAAAGAAGAGCTGCAGCAAAAGAAAGATGCGAAGAAAAAGAAGAGGCTTCGTGCTTGCATGTTCTGCTTGTCTTTTTGCTGTCGCATCATGCTTATTCGCTATGTTTTGCTGAGTATGAAGATTATGAACAGTCTCCAGAAACATTCGCAGATCTAAGACTGAATTCTTCAGCACGAAGACAACTGCCGATCTTTGCTTTCTGAAGGAGAGCAGAAGCAAAGCCGGAGGCGAAGGTAGGGAAGCCGCTTCCTTTGCTCATGGCACAGACAACGCTCCAATCTGTACTGTGCTTTGCAACTCCTGTGGTACTTTTGGATTTTAGCAAATTTTAGCGGTTGGGCGCGTCTTTGTATGCACGGTGACCTGAAGGGCAAGAAGAAGGCGAAGAAGAAGAGCCACCACGCTTTACTCTCAGAGCTTTTGGCAAACTCTGTGGTACAGCATACAGTTTGCCACTTTGCCAGGAAGCTTCAAGCGGTGCAAAGGAAGGCAAGTGATCTGCAGACAGCTTTTTGACTAAGTGGATCTGCAGGGACGAAGAAGACATGCGTTGAAAGTCGGAGATTGGGTGGCTCAAGCGACAAGTACTTGCAAATGGTGCGCGATTTTTGCAAGCACCCATTGAGTCCCACTGAGCTGATTGCTGGCCATTTGAACATGTGGTTTGGATAAGAAAGAAGAGACATATTATAAGAAGATGGTGTTTTTGTTCCAAGTGGAAGGGGTGAACCAACATTGCCTGAGTGTAAAGATGTGTTTGTGCAGGTAGCTCTAAGGTTTTTTTGGGCCTTCCAGACCGAATGCTGTAGCAAAGGGTGACGCTGTCCTGGGGATACTTGCCGGCGAGGGACTCCTGAGAAGGCCTCCAAGAAGCGTCCCGTGCGAAGTCAGCACCTTAAAGTGTTCTTCGATGCTCGGGATGGAGGAACCCACCGTCAGAGACTCTGACGCCACATGGCATATGCTCAATTCTGATTTGCGTAGAACAGTGGAACTGTTAGATGGCTTCTACTTGCGTCTTGAATGCACACGCATGCTGAGGTAAACTGCTAAAAAGGAAGAAGGATATGCCTGAAGGACAGCTGCATAGTTTATACATCTCAGAATTGCCCTGTTCGATAGTATATTCTTGCAGCCCAGGCCAAACATTAATTTTGCGACCCCCAAGATTGGCCAGTTCGTCTCATCCCCATTCCCTTAGCCCTTTGTGAGTAGAGGAGAACCAAAGAAGAATGATAAAAGCAAGAAGAAGTCAGGCCGCCGCCGAGTCAAAAACTTGCACACCAGAAGCTTTTGTTGGCAGTATGCAGTGGCATCAGGAGGAAAACGGACAACCATTGCCTGTCTCTAAGTTCTACAGTGTGCTTGGCACTCTGTTGAGCCGTCACGATTTGACAGACCCCAACCTTTTGGGTGAACTGAGGAGGCCTAGCACATGCTCCGTAAAAAGATGAGCTTGCTGGAAACTGTTGGGTGCACGTGGTCTTGATGTGTGGAAGTGAGATTGCGTTCACCCTACACTCCACACATTTGTTGCCGATGCTTCAGTGCTAGTGGCCATTCAGAAAATGGAAGCAAAGACGCTGACATGCGCTCCAGCATACCACTGCTAACACAACAAGAAGGCTTTTGACATTGCAATCTCCGACAAAGTTGTTTCTTGCTGGTTGCCAACGGTGTAACGATGCCCATAGGATCCCTCACCAGCATTTGTATAGAATAGAAGTGCAGGTCTCAATCATGGATCCATCGGATGTCACTGTCAAGCCTCTATCGCTGGAAGACATTGCTGCTGCGGCTGTGCTTTTGGAGAGGAGCGCCGCAAAGTCTTTTGACCAAATCTTGAGGCACTCAATTGATTTTGTGCTTTTCTATGCCATGCCTTTCTGGCTATTTTGCAGGGTGTCACTTTGTCAAAAAGGACAATTCAGAAGTTTGGAACTCAGTTTCCAACCCTTGCAGTTTCTCACCTGAGGTTCAGAGCAGAGCCCAATCTTGCAGAAGGCCGCCTGAAAAGCGCGCTGGAGAACAAAGAATTGGTGAACGTTGGAGTTGATGGCGCTGGCATTTGTGGAGTTGCTTTCCGAGACCCGAAATATGGCTGGGAGGTCTATTCGACTGACCCTCTCTGTGTCCCTGCACTGGTCAAAGATACCATTGCCACGGCCACGCTGGCAGATGATCAGAAGTCGACCTTCTGGAGGGATGGCTACCTTGTTTTCCCTGGCATGCTGGCTAAAGAGGTACAGGGCTCTTCCGGGGAGTTGGGTCAATTTGGCAAGGACGTTTGGCGCCTACAAGTGCCGTATTTGTGCGCATCAGTTTGTCAGACTCAGATATACAATTTGATGACTCTACGGCTATGGCCTTGACTTGGGGCTGAGCAAGACAATCACTGAACTGTAACGAGAGGAGAACGAGGTGACATCATGCATGTCAATGGGTTGAGATTAGATGTGTATTTGTTTTGTTAAGGCCAGCCGTTGCTTTGCATGGAGGATATCTAGCTGACCAGTGGCGGCTAGGACTCTTATTGTTTCGGGAGCAGGGTAGATTCGGTTGACAGTGATAACCGCCACAGCCCCTTAGCTTGTCCTTGCAACCAACCAGGTCTTTCTGCATTTGCCAAAAAGCCTTGACATTTTGACAGCGCTTTGTTTAATCAAGCTCTTCCTGTGAGTAAACAATCTGGGAGGCGCCCATGCTCAAGCAGAACATGGACCTGATGATGAGACCTGTCTAAACGAAGTCACTCTGCAATTGGATTCTGGATAGGACAAGTGTTTGAGAACAATGATTGGAGGCTGCAGCTTTTCATTTCCCGACAGTCTCTTTGGCATGTGCATCGAACGATCACTTCCCGATAGAATGAGATGCGCTTGTACTGCACTAACATGTGCTTGCACTTCTTGGCTGAGACCTTTAGTAAGATGCAAGGAAAGCTGCTGCAGATACGACATCAGATTGGAACGCTGTCAATGATGGCGCTGCCTTTGTTCTGGCAGTGAATGAGCGTGGGGAAGCCATCCCAGGCAGATTCTTGAAGGTTCGGACCAACAAGATACAGAATATCATATCATATGTTGTTTTCCCCAAAGTCGGGGAGGTTTGACATCCCAGACACAAGGTCACACGTAGATATGTGCGGTTTTCAAAAGCAATGAGTTGGCACTTGCCAGCGAGGTGCAGGCTGCCGCCCTGGCCAGTCCTTCTGTTCTCGAGGTGCTGGGTTGCACGAAGGTTGTGGAGAAAGTTCGGGAGCTTTACAGCTTTCTTGGGCATGATGTACCTCCGCACGTTGACGTCTTTGGAACCAAGTTCTTTCCTATGTGGCCTGGAGGCAGGACATTGGCTGATCAAGGTTTAGTTGAATGAGATGTTGAAGATTTGTTATGATAGATCATGATAGATAATGACAGATCATCAGAAATTGTGCCACTAATTTATCATGCCACGAATTACAGCTTCCCCTTCTGCTTGTTCAAGACTACCCTCACTGCCTGGAGGAGTCTCTGTGAACTG